TTGACATGTGTACTGAGTAAATCTCATTGTCAAGCATTATCTTCACGGTCAATCTCCATGATTCAACTCATGTATTCCGAGTTAACTTATAACCTGTCTCTGGTCTAAGAGTGGATCTTTAGTCGATCTGACCTCGCTCTACTATTTAAAATGACCAATTCCAATAACGGTTATAGCTAGCTTTATCCCTATTCCTATGTGCGCCAGACCCGCAAAGGTTGTAGTTATTTCCTAGAGTTGACTACAACGCAAATGAGGTTAAAAAGTCCTGATTGCGCGTAAAACTGAAAAGTCGAACAAGATAAAAACAAGACAAAAAAATAAAATGACGTACCCACTATTGTTTTGACAGAAAGATGTGGGAAGACAGATGAAGGCAAGATGAAAGTAAAAAGAAAGATAGACAGCAAACTTAAATAAAATTAAAGTCATGCAATAAAAGAATGAAAAAGGTATTTAAATACCCTCGAACACTATAAAATAACACATGATTATCTAAAAGGTATTTCTGCTCAACCAGTATGAAGCTAAGATAACAAATATATATTCAGCCTCTTTGAAGAAATGTATTATTTAAATAATTTCGTCAATTAAGAGGCTTAAATATATTTCAAGCATTCAACTACTCATTAATCTTGCTTGTCACTGAAAATTATATCTAGTAAGAAAACCAGGCTAACTTGTGAACCAACAACTAACCTGATAGGATTTATATAAGGTTCAGACAGGGGATTGATGCCCATCGGTTGGATAAAGGACTCATAACAAGCCAAACTTACTGATACACAGATATGTATGAGTAGAATCTCCTTAAGTAATATTAGGTCATGGAATGCCTAATAGATGACCTGATGACTCCAGCACAGTCGAGATCAGAAAGCCTTCTAAGAGAGTAAGTTAAGGTTTAATTAAATCGTGAAGCCTAGCACAACTTTTAATGTGATAAATAAAGCTATCAGGTCTTGTATCACATCAAGTGATTCTATATCTAACAAAATCACTACTATAATTTCTAAACATACTTATTTTGAACATGTATGATATCAAATTAATCGAAGCGAAAAAAAGAAAATAAAGGAAAAGGACTGGTACTACTTACTCCATCAAATGGATTCTAAAAGTCAAATGGAAAAAAAGTCAAATGTGAGAAAGCAATATGGATAAAATACAAAAACTAAACATATAAAATCTTGAGCAAATTAGTTTCTACCAACCCGCCAATCGGCTAATTTGGGTGCCTTTCCCAGTAGCTTGGCCATGTCAACTTTACGACAGGCCAGAACTGTATCGAGCCAAGCTTTGATTTCATGCTGCATATAAAATCCGATCGTCTGCTGAGGATGTTCATTCTGCCGCGTTTGATAATTTGCCTGAGCTGGTGGTAGTAGAGGGGCCTTGGAGGCCTTAGTGGTGCCTGGAGAAATCTGCTGGGCCAGTGTGTCAAAATTACCGTCCCGATTCGAGTCAGAGCCAAGGCTAAATATGAAAGAGTTCGAAGAAAGTGATGATTGTGGGGACGGTGAAGCTGGTGCGCGAGTGAGAAGAGTAGGAGCCGAGGAGTTGGAATATACAGGAGAGGCATGGAGTGGTGAATTGGCAATCGATTCGGAGATCGAATCAGCGAAAGACCTGGATTTTTCAGAAGTGGACTCGGCCAGAGTAAATGCGAGAGACTCACAACTAGACTGAACAGGAAAATAATTAGAAATATAAGACAGATTTGCATCGATTTTATCAATAAGCAGACTCCATGCTAGGGAGAAAACTAGAGTAATAAACGATTTATTTAATATCTGAAAAAACTAAATGCGCTACTTTATTCCAAAGTTGGGATGCCGGAATAAATTTATGTGCTGATAGGAGAACAGCATAAACAATGTGATTGAGGATAATTCGATTTAGATTTTGCATGATGGCTAGATAGTAGCCCTAAAGAATTTTAGGAACTCATATACGAGAAAAATAAGTCGACATTATAAATTAAATCGTAGATAGATGGTGTGGCCAAGGAGATTGCCTTGACTTGTCACTTTGATAAGTTGTAACTCTGTGCTTAGGATGGCCCTTCTCACTAACGATGCCGGCGAAACGTTTGGTAATGTACCAAGTCAATGGTCAAATTCTGGAACTTACGAATACTATGACAGGTGACATTGGACTAGGCATGTTCCACAAGGTCTGCCTGACGCTCCGAGTAAGTTGTGAAAACAAAACCCGAACCAAAATTAAAAATTAAATTGCTGAAAACACTTAATAAATAAAATAAATAAATACAATTTGATGTATATGCTTAGTATAGGCTCTGACTCTGTTATATTCATTTCATATTTCTCCAAAAACTTCTTAGTCATCCGACAACGAAATGCAAAGTAGCGACATCAAATCTATAATCGAGTCGATAATGAAGTCAATAAGATGTTTTGTATGTACTAAAAGAAGAACAGATTTTCCCGTAAATGGAAGCAGATCGCACATTCAGCATGCTATTAAAAAAAACAAAAGCTCATAGAACCAAAATCAATTTGATTGCTTTGTATTGTGGATGACCGACCTATTAAGAGATTCAAGACCTATTTAGCATTTCCAAAGAAACATAAGTCTAAAACCTGGAATTAGCTACGAATCACAAAAATAGCAAATTAAAGAGAAAACTCTCTTTAGCACATATATGGCCAATGACATTTAAAATGCATACTA